TTTGGTTCTTTTTATCTTATTGGTTCTTAAGAATTACTTAAAATAATTTTTCCTATGGCAAAGAAATAAAAATAAAACAGGAAGAAATAAAAAGGAAGCAAAACAAGCCATTCACAGTATTGTGAAATATATGAGAGACATGGTGGCAACTGCAAAGAAGCCACTAAACCACTTTTCCAAAGTTTCCAAAGGAAAAAAAATAATTTCTTGCAAGACTGCTGTTTCTTATCAGGATATGGGTGTGTATGCATAAAACATATTTACATCTTCCATAAAGGAATCACTAAGAACAGAGATGTCATGTTTTGGTAACAAATATAATATTGATAATTTATTCAGTATTCAAGTTTTTAATCATTCTCAAATTTCTTAATGTGAATCTATAGACTATGATATATAAAATTAGTCTATTATTTTACTGAGCTAGACATTGTGAAACTTCTAAATTGAAACTTCTAAAAATGATCATAGGGTGACTAAAATACTCAGAATCTCATTGACCAAGATACTTATTGAGTGGGGGGTGGATCTACTTGCAATGAGTAGACAGAAAGCAGCTTTCTCCCATTTAGAATCCTGAATTCAATTTGGTGATGGAGGCAAGGAAACACACAGAAGCAAATAATTCATCCAAAGAATATGAAAAATAAATATTGGCTATCAAACTTCTGCTATTGTATTTGCACTTAATTTTATCCTAACAGTCAAAAATATTTTATGTGAAAAAACATTTTGGGAAGAGATGTAAAAATTTCTAGAAGATACCTGAACACATCTTTAAAAGAATATGCAAACAAGCATTTGATTACAGATTACAGAAGAACTTTAAACTGTCCTTGTTTTACATTTTTTCCGAATTTTTCATTCTTATAAAATGTCAACATATAATTATAAAATTTGGTAGAAAATATGTTTATTTCCTCTTATGATGATTAAGATTATCTTCTGTATCTTATATATTTAATTTTTGTCAAAATCTCTCCTGCCTCAAATATCTAGATTCCATATTCACTATTCACGAGACCTGTAAAGAAGTCACTGATTCACCTTAGTTTCAATTGGTTTGGTTCTACTACCTATACCAGCTAAGAATTATTTCCTGGGTTAGTGACTCCTTGTCTACTTTGTAACCATAAACATTACTGAAAATATTAATAATAAAGAACCATGTTATTTTATAATGTATTTACCAAATAACAATTGTGGAAGAAAATTGTTAATGAAAAAATAATCTTATCTCCTGCAAAAAATATTTGAAAGTAAATTTATTTTTAATTAATGTCACCTTCAGGTCCATAATTGAGGTATTTGTTAATATAATCAATTTTAATACTCCTTTCATACCTGTGAAAGGCATATTAGCAAAACAGTATGATTTAAAACCAAATTTTCATTAAGATTTAGCAAAATGCTAAATGGGAAGAGGAATAACAGATCCACTTCCCTGCAATATACTTGAATTAAAAAAATGATTACAAAATAAAAGTAACATATACCTAAAATTATGTTATGGAAAGGTAAAACTGAAATGGCTTTATAGTAAGAGATGGGTAATTTGGTGGCAAAGGCACACAGAAAAATTGGCATTTCATTTCAGTATGTCAACAGTCTTTTTTGGCAGCTGATTAGTTTTACATTGAACATCCCACCAATGGATTACAAAACAATAATCCATTTCCAAGTGCATAATAATTCATTGTTGCCCTTCACTGTACATTAAATGTCACCCATCATTGTGACAGGAGTACAAAAGCTATTGCACGCAAGTCAGGAGCCAAGATCAAAGCTGTTAATGCGAGCACTTTGGACATGGTTTTCTGAACTCAGATAAACCATCCAAAACAGTATGTGTAGAGCATCTTTACTTCTGAGTGCCAAGAGATATACAGAAAACTTTTAGTAGCATAAGGACTCTCAGTAAGGCAACAGCCTTCTCATCTTGTGACCACAGACCATGTTAGAGCCAAAACACATGTTTTGGTGGTCACAGTAATAATAAACCCTTGAGAAGATTCTAAGCATAGCATCCCCTGCTGCCTAATTCAATAATACACAGCATTCTAATATTCTAAAAATAATGCAAAGCAATTAAATACAAAAATACAAAAGAAACTTCTAAATTGTTTTTTTGCTTAAAAACTAATATATGTATTTAACATATTGAATATTTTTTAATTTGCTATTCTTGCTAAGAAAGGCCAGGTTAGCCAATGTTGCTTGCCTTATTTTACTATTTTTTCTATTTTGACCATACTCACTTGTTCATTTAAGTAGCCTAAAAATTTTCTGTAAATAATATCCTTACTTCAAAATTTAGTATAGTACTATTTTTTTCTCCAGAGTTTATTTGTATTTGATTTTTAAATGTCAATCTCAGAATAAACAATGCAGTGTTTTTCATAAACCCAGTGGATAATTATTATGGTTACATCAATCCTGTTGGAGGGAAACGTGTGTATCATTATTTCCACCTTTTAAATTTGGTTCTTAGTTATACATCTCTGTATAACAAACTACTAAGAACCCTGGACAAGATTTACATGCTGTATTTCAAAACAGCTCTGGTTGTCCTGGAGACAACTACGGTTAAAAGAAAAAAAGGAACTCTAATAAAATGGGAATTTAAATTGACTCATGTTATAAATAGTATCTACTATATCAATAGCATCAGTTCTTTCATAAAGGAAATATTTGAAGCAAGGTGAAAAATATCTCTTATTATTAGCATAAAGGGTGGGTTCCCTAACCAGTTTTTATATAACTAACGGACATGTTTATACTAATATACCTAGGTCAAAGAAAAAGAATAGAGGGAAAAGTGTTTAGGAGCAAACATGATTAGGTATAAGCCCATAACGGACAAGATTTCTTCCTAATCCTCAGCAAGAAGAGAGCTATTGTTAGGATACCTGGGATAGGCCATCTTTGTCTAGAAAACTGTGACTCAGGCTCATCTTTACTCCTAGATAAGATTTCTCAGCTAATTCACATAAGCATGCTGGTTATGTCATTATGCTATGAGCAATAGTGCCACTGCTTGCAAGAGATCAGAGATTATAAAGCCAAACCCAGACATGCAAATAAGACCATATATCTCTCTTGTTAATACTGATTTAAAAATTTAGAGCATTTGTTAATGTATTTTTTTAGATTAGCTTTTCCATATAAAATAAGAGAAAATTTTTAAAAGGTATTAAAATGACAATTTACTTTTAAATTCAATTTTTAAAAGCATAAATTCTAACAATTATGATCAGTTCTCAATTTATCATAAAATTAATATTGTTAATGCTATGTTATAGCAGATAATTCAATAAACCTCAAATCTGGTATTCTAATAACTAACAATCTGCTTAATGCTTTATTTCCTTTAAAGTTGTGTATTTCTCTCCAGTTAAATATGTTGCAAGTGATTTTTTTAGAAAAATATATTTAAAAACATGACCCTCATTAAAAAAATTGAGTAACTATCAAGTATTTTTATGAACTTCATTCAAGGTCAATAGATATTTATTCATAGGTAAAATGAAAATGTTATATTTGTTTTGAATTAATAACAAATATCACAATTCTATTTACATTAAAAAGGTAATTAAGTCCTAAAATTGAAACTTGTAAATTTTTTCTGTATTTACATTCATGAACTCATGAACTTCTTCCATGATAGCAAGAACTCAATACCATGTCAGAGCAGATTTTAATTATACAAATTCATTCGGTTTTAGGAGTTTCAGTCTGGAATTTAAAGGGACTCTAAGAATATTTTTACTGCATTTTTTAAATCTTCTTTAACCAAGAATATCTAATATTATCTATTATGTAATATAGAATATCTAACTATGTAGTATGTAATAGAAACAGGTATACCTGCAGATTTTTTCTAAATTTTGTTTTCTTCTATATCTTGCACTATTTATTTTTCTACTTGCCCTGTGGACAGGTTTCAAAGTTCTCTAGCCATTGAATAATTTAAACTGTAATCCCTGGACTCATATCTCTGAATACATTTGAAACAGGATGGCTTTTGTTAGTCACCATAACAAAAAAAAAATATATATATATATATATACTTTGTCCAAAGATGTTCAAAAATGAGAAGTCTATTTTATTTTCATAAGTCATTGAAGAACCTAGAGCTAAAACCCTGATATCTTCATACTCCAATTTCTCCTGGAGACAGAAAATTCAAATAAAAATGTTAACACTCTCTATCAAACAGCTGCAAAAGTTATCTGTATAACTTGTTCCAATACAATTTTTCAGTCTAAGGTAAATGATAATTATCTGAAGGACCCAAGTGCTAATATAACTATAAAGAGTAAATATATAAAAATATATCAAAAATATTATGCTACTTCCATAACTGATTTTATTCCCCTTTAATAGAGTGAAATAAATTGTTTTTTACTGCTAGGAAAAAAATACATATATATGACTTCATTGTAAAAATAATAAGTTCAAGAAAGAACAAATACCTTAGTGACAAATTGATCAAAAGAACTTATTTAATATAATTTAAAAAGAACACTTAATATTTAATGTTAATGATAGGGCAAAAATCATATTTATTATAGTCATACATTATAAATTTTATCAACAGGAAAGAACTATATGTAGAATTCTAATTAGTCTTGGGTCTAGAGCTATCTTTTTATAGGGACTAGAATATAAAAATTTAAAGTTAACAATAAATATGTGACTTTCAAGTTCATTAGAGTAACAATAGTGTGCTAAGTCCTGAGGGATGGTTTTATGTTCTTAATTAAAGCAAAAGAAAACTGAATCATATTGAAATGATCTAGCTGTTAAAAATTTGATAGTGACGTAAGCATAAATGAGAAATGATTACAAATTTCCACCTCCAAAGTAAAAATAAAGTAGCAAAAATAACATAATTAAGTTATATCATGGATTGTCAAGGCCATTATGAATAAATATAAAATAAATATTTTAATATAAAGTAAATATAAAAGTACATATTTTTCTTTTTTGGAGGTTTGGCGGAGAACGCAAATGCAGTGCCCCGTTAGCACAAATGACGCAGCTGAGTTTCCCCCGCTTGGAGAATCCCATGGGCAGCACAACCTGAGAGCAAGGGATAAGCCTTGCCCTGGAAAACCACCTTCATGATCATGGTCTCTCCCCTGCCAGGTAAGTATAGCTAGAACTACTTACTTTTTAGATAGGAATTGGAGTTCTGATTCTTTGACTGAAATAAACTGTACATATCAAAATATAGGGCGATTTTTGTGGTGATATATTTATTCTTCAAAAAAATGACAAATGTTATGTATAAAAACATAACATTTAAAATGGGTAGTCTTTTTATATTTAAAATGCTTATTTTTAATTAGATTTGGTTGAGTAAAAAGGAAGTCACCTTTTAAATATTACCAGTTTGTTTTTTTCTTATGATTGATTTATTAATTCAAATAGGTGAAAACATACTAGTATTTCACTCTCTGGTACAAGGGAAATCTTCAAAATCAAATAATTCTTATATCATGGTGATTAGGGCTACTTTTAGATTAGGATTAAAAAGAGTAAACTCTACCACAATTATAGCTTACTGACAAAACCAGCATGCTTTCTGCCCCAAAAGGCATCCTAGGACATTTTAATAAGTTATGTGACTCAAAAGTTCATTGTTATTCAGCACACCCATGAGAAATAAAGAAAAAGAAAACTGATTGTGACTTTTGACAATTATTAGTTAGAAAAAGGAAGTAACAATTGCCAAAATAATCACAAAAGTGAGCATGTTACCTGGCTATGACAAAGAGCACACAACTGACACCCAAGTAAGCCAGCAGAATATACATCCAGATATCAGGGGAGAGAGGATTCAGGAAGGAGAAGACGCCTGGGTTTGTACCATTGGGCTTGCGGTACAAAATACTTATTCCAAGTGTCATAAAGGGCTTGGAAAAGTCGATGACCTTCTCTCGGACGTAGGTAATAGCCAGTGGAGCAACTGCAAGGTCAGCTTTCTGTAGAGAGAAACATAAAAAAGAAAAAAAAAACAGTTCTAAGTCAAAAGAAAGAAGTCAGTAACCACATTAAAACAAAACATTACACTTGAGAATTGTCTCAGTAACAATTACATTAACATTTAAAGCATTCTTCACTCTGACTTGTAGCATTGATTTACTCTGCTACTCATTTCTATGTGCTTCTAGATTAGCAAACCAAAATTTATTGCCAAGGGAATAGGGATGATAAAGGGAAAGAAAAAAAACTGTATGATGAAAACACTGAAGAAACAATGATATATTCAGTACCTGAATCATTATGCTACTAAACATTTATAACTTTATAAATACTTTGGCCAAATTCTAAATGATAATAATAATAGCTACCTCAAATCACATAGAAGTTAATAAACATTTTTTCTTGTTTTAACACTATTGAGCACAGTTAAAAGCTTTTAGTTTTTAAATAGTTAACGCTGTGAAAAATCGTCTTTTAATTTGATGTTGTTTACTGTCCCTGAGTTTTCTTTCTATCCCTCTAATTTGTTTTATATTATTTAATGAAAATCCTTGCAGCTTTGCCTAAATCTCATTAGGAAATGAGTTTTTCAATTTTCATAAAGTTGCTAATTTTCCACGGTAGCTTAAATATGCTAAATTGCTAATGCTTTTCACTCATCGTGGTGTAACCATCTGTCAAGAATGAACTTAAACTTGAATATATTGAAAGAAATAAGTATAATATTTTAAAATAACATAGGCATCTATTTTTATCTACGAAGGGATGCTATATTTTTACATTCCTTTTATTTTCATAAACACACTAAGTTTTCAGACAATATAGAAAAATGTTCATTTTAGATAGACATATAAAAGGAAAAAAATTGGGCCTCTTTTATTTCCTTGGCTCAGGAATTGTTGGAGTACTTACAGAAGAAACACCCCCAAATGGCTAGATTTGTTGACACTGTTATTTTGGGTGTGTATTTGTGTGCATTTGTGGGTATGGAAGGAAAGAGAGAGTATGCAGATGCTTGGAGAGAGTATCTCTGAGAATAGTTATGGAGAGAGGATGATATTTCCCTAAATATTCAATAAGTGACCTGTTCGCCCACGAGGAGCTGACGTGAGCTGGGGCCACACATACTATGCTTTACAGTTGGATTTCTGAGGGTGTAAATCCAATCCCAAGCAAAGAATTACATTATCTCCAATTGTAGACACTACAGGAGATTAATGTATCCTTCATATTTGACTAGATTTACAGTGGTCTCGGAAGAGTGCTACAGTTTTCAGGATTATATAAGAAAAATGGTACATTGGTATTTCTTAGATGGGATAATACAGGAGAACCAACATTCAACACATGCTAAAAGATGACAGACTTGGACAACATATCCCAACGTTACATCCCACTTCAGAAGAATTTCACCATGACCTTTACAGCTTATGATCTGAGTGTCTGTTCAAGCTCGAAGAGTGTGGAAAAACTATCAATAGCATTATATTTCTAGTGGATTATGCAGAATACGAAAGCTGTTAGAAACAAAGAGCTCGATTCACTAATGACTGATAATACCATCATTAATGTACCTAAGCTAATTCTTAGGAATAAGCCATCAGAAGAGAGATTACAAGAGATGTTTGGTTCATATGGTCAGACAAAGGGAAAGGGCAATATATTTCTGAAAGGGCTGAATGCCTGGCCAGTCCTAGGAACTTTTCTTGTGCAGTGTACTCATAAGGCAAGGTTACAGAGAAGGCTTCCACTGGATGGCGCAGTTCATCAGTTAACGCCAACCAACCCTGAGTTCAGGTTTCACCATTCTGGCCTACTTGGAGATTTGATTGCTGAACAAGAATAATTTGAATTCAATAGACTTTCACTGGTTAGAAAAGAGACGTGTTTTAAATTATTAATATTTTAATTTGAGTGAGAATTAAAAACTGATTCAAGTCTGAATATCACAATGTTAGCTTTCTAATTCCATAAAGATAATTAACTTTTTACAGTCTGTAATCTGACATGACCCCAAGTGCCATTTATAAAAAGCTACTCTCCAGCAGCATACTTGATAAACTTTAACAACATAAAACTACAACTATAGGCAATAATTAAAAGCTCACGATGTTAAATTTTTATTCACATTTTTCAAACTAGTTTTTAAATTTTAGATTACATATCCACCTATCTTAAGTGTATAGTTAATAATTAACTTTATTGATGATTGCATGATGCCTCTCAGGATTCAAAAATATTTTTCCTTATGCAAACATCATACAATAACACAACCCTCATGTTTAGCCAAAAAAAAGGAAGAAAAAAGAAAAAAAGGAAAGAAAAGCACGCCTTCTGGGTCCTGGGGTACGTATCATCATACTTCATATTCATTACCAAGAAAAATATCAATTTAACAATAATAATTACTAATATCCCTTAAGCATTTATCATAGGCATTGTGATAAAAAAAACTTTACATGACTTGTCATAATTAATCCTTACACAATCCTACCATTACTCTCATTTTCAAATAAGAAAATTGAATTCATGAGAAGTTAAAAACATGTTCCTTTGCAGAGATAATTGAGCATTAGAAATAGGACATAAAACCAAGCTATAGAAATCTATACCTAGAAGCAATGATGACATGCATCTCAGAAACCAGAAATGAAATCACTGAGACTTCATTCATTAATTCGTTCATTCATGAGTTTGTAGAGATGGGAAGGGAAATACATAGAAGCAAAGGCAGTGATTAATACAGTCCAAGAGAATTTCGAGGGTAGGTACAGGGTTCAGGCACATAGAGTATGTTGCACAGGGAGAAGACAGCACTTACTCTGAGACAGAAAGAAAAGAAGTAAAAAAGGCTTGAAAAGTAGACAACTTTGTTAGGGAAATAAAGATTCCAGATTAAAAAAATGGACAACGCGAAGTGGTGGTTTGCTCCTGTTTGGGATTGAATACATGTACAGCAGTTTAGCATTGTGCCACTTTGTAACCTCCCTCTTCCTAGCACAAGGAAAGCAAAATATCACCACATATAAAGCATATAAGTGAATATTTTGAACTGGTAAAAAATAATTAAGTAAAAATAGATATTAACAAAATTAAGAAATAATTCAAATAACATATTAAAAACAAAACCAATACATTATTCCAAAACAGTTGTTATATAGGCATAGACTAATAAGATTGGCAAGATAAACATCAAATTTCAAAATTTACTTAGCATTACCTAAAATAAAATTTTGATTCCAAAGATAAAATGGAAAAAAGATCAAAATTTTTACAGTAAAATACTTTATAAAAGAAACTGGTTATTTGAAATAAATATACAAACATTTAATAGATAATAAATGTATCAATAGGCAATGGTACATAAATATAATGAGCAATATTAATAATATAATATAATATAATAATATAATATAATGTAATAAATATTATTGAGCAATAATGAGAAATGAGCTATCAAGCCAAAAAAGACATGAAAGAACCTTAAATGCATATGACTACGTGAAAGATACTAGTTCAAAAAGGTTATACAGTATGATTCCAATTACATGACATTTTGAAAAAGGCAAAACTATGGACTAAAAAGATCTGTGATTGCCAAAGCCTTAAAAGGAAATGGGGGCCTAATGAATAGGCAGAGCACAGAATATTTTTAGGGCAGTCAAGCTACTCTGCAAGAATTGTAATGGTGGGTACATAACACCATACATTTATCAAAAGCTGTAAAACTGTACAACACAAAGAATAAACCCTACTGATACAGAGAAATGTGATCAAATCACTGGGGGGAGTAGGAAGATGCACAGGAGGAGGTTGTCCAAGGCAATGGTAAATAGCCTAGGACTAGATTAGCTGAGAAGCTGCTTGCCTTCAGGATGCATGGAATGATGGGTGAGAAGACTGGAAATAAAAGAAGCACTGTTGGGCTCTGTGGCTCTTGGACAGGCTGCCTCTGACTCTCGGGCTCTTCTTCCTTGAGGATGCCTGGATGATCTTGATGCAGCTGCCTGCATTTCCCAACCAATGGTATTTTGAATGGGAAGGAACTCCAGGCACAACCTAGATCAGCCTGGCCTGGCAGAGGGTGGCAGGGTTATTCTTCTTTGGTTTTTCTCGAGGGAACAGGCTCTGAGGCAGAAGCCTGCCATTCTTCCAAAATTGTGTAGCT